TAACCCTAACCCTAACCCTAAACCCTAACCCTAACCCTAACCCTAACCCTAACCCTAACCCTAACCCTAAACCCTAACCCTAACCCTAACCCTAACCCTAACCCTAACCCTAACCCTAACCCTAACCCTAACCCTAACCCTAACCCTAACCCTAACCCTAACCCTAACCCTAACCCTAACCCTAACCCTAACCCTAACCCTAACCCTAACCCTAACCCTAACCCTAACCCTAACCCTAACCCTAACCCTAACCCTAACCCTAACCCTAACCCTAACCCAACCTAACCCTAACCCTAACCCTAACCCTCCCCTATACCAGGTAGACAGGTAGACATCATTCGGCGCCCATACACCTGATGAAAACACTACGTTGGTTCTTCTGTGCTCGTCATCCCCCCTCTCCGCTTGCTTGTGACTTACGCACATCAAACCCAAAAAGACTTTCGTCTTATACAGCCAAGAATTTGGCAGGCGCCTACCAACTGATAATGTCCGCGATCTGCATGTGCGATTTTGTCTTGACAATTAGCCAAAGAACAAACCTCTCAATCCGATACCAATGAGTCACCTCTGTAAGGCCCTTTGATAGGTGTCCTCTGACCTATATCCGGTCCGATTCCCCTTTGGCCAGATGGCCCAGCAACCAAACGTCCTATTGATTCTTGTCATGCAACCAGCTCAGGAATTGCCACCATCCCACCGCGCCGTTCAGAAAACGGATAGCCGTAGAACCAAAAGCCCCCAATTGATCATATCCCCTAACCCATCATCACCTTTGAGATTATCGCGTCTTTGAACTCGCCATGTTTATATATCATCTTAGCTTGATGATTGGCAAACATCTGTTCCGATACAACCATGGACCCGGTCGGATAAGTCCCAGTCTGGAAACAGTGTTCCCAGTCTTTTTGGCAAGGTCATTTTTCTGTCATGAGCATACACCAAAGAGTGTCCCATACGCGCCTCTGCAGCCAGTGTAGGTATTGACACCACATTAAGAAGTGCACTTGAGCATGAGCCAATAGAGAACCCAGACCCAGTTGCGGCCTAACAGGGCCGCTCGACTTGAAGCTTTAAGGGACCCAAGGGCCGAAGGAGAGTAGGGTTCGCAAACAGCTACACTGAAGAAGTCGAGGTTGTGACCGTCCCCGATGACCTTAGGTAACCTGATTGGGCCGTCTGTTGATTGTCTCAATTTGCTCGTTGGGAATCACCGAAAAATCAGGACAGGTCATAACCCCAACCATGTAATCAAGGCCCATTGACAGAAGAAACACCTTCCTCTTACGCTCCCCAATGTTCATGAGCCGGACGCCCCGAAGAGCCTGAGTTCAGAATAAAATCAGATGAGTTTGCAGACATAGACAAAAATACAGTTGTACCCGTGCGTTTGGAATTCTCCTTCCAGAAAACATGAACCTCGCTCAAGCCTGGCCTTTGGAAATAAGTAATTGAACCATATTGGTTGAATTTCCCAACAGTTTGCCTCATTTAAGAGAGGGGCGCAGCGGATGTATACGCCCCTCTCTTACCACAAGTCTCTTCTGAGTCTGTGAAACCAGTGAAGTGAGGGGTTGGATTAGCACAAGCGCCGTTGTCCAAGGATCTCATCCTTTGATAGTCGTCATCCATCTTGAAAAGAACCACTGCTCGGTCAGGAGATGAAGATCACTCAGATTGAGTCATATTTTGAGCCAAGTGTTCCATGTATGAGGGAAGATTACCCAGGATCGGCTACGTAATGATATCTGCATCAAAATCAATGCCTGTCATATGCAATTGACAGAGGTCCAACTACAGATGGGAAATGAAACACAGAATGATGTGCACGTCGCATCCCAGACGCAAGAGAACTTAGAACATCCATGCGTGGTCGGAATCCTTCGATGAGGCACAATGGTATATAATATATTTCCGGATATTTCACACGTCTTTCTCATTCCCCTGAAATGATGTGACCGGTTCACAGCATAGCATGGCCTTTCTTTCCCTCAGAGTCCTATCAGGCGACATGAGTCCGTCAGAGAGTTCATCGAGATTGAGTCCTTTTTACACTTGAATCCTCCCAAGTGTAGCGTTGTCTAGAGTCAAAAGTGGAATGTCTTCAATAGCTCCCTTGAGGATAGTCTGACTGATTTCCCAACAACATAGGAGCTTGTTCTCGTAGCAGCCTAAGGATCCCGCTTCAGCCAGCTAGACCCTAATCATTGTCTCGTTTCAGCTTTCCCTACAGCAGGGTTTCTTGGTCCAGTTGACATGGATAGCGAATATTCGACTGATAAATGTACACACGGGACGCATTGATTCCCCCAAACCAAACCAGATCCAACAGCTAAACAGCGACCAGAAAATGCAGAACAATCAAGAAGGTTCAAGAAAACCAACTACCCCTCATACAAACCCCTTCCAGTTTATTTCATTGTGCAACAGACCACTAAGATAGAGAAGCTAGACCACCGGACCTAGGACCCACAGGCCTGAGAAAGACAAGGATTAGCAGATCGATCCGAGCGAAGACAGCATGAGATGTGATCATTCCCACCGCACTTCTTAGCACCGGAACCCCAGTTTTCCAGCTGGATCAATCAGAGAAAAGGAAGTAAGAAAAGCCGAAGGGCAAATACCAAAGAGCCCAAACTAGTGCATTTGACGCAAGAGGAGATGAGGACACGCAAGGTCCAGTTACTGATAGCCTAGCAAGCTTGAGTGAGTTATTGAGCAGAAGTGTCAAGGATCCACTTATGCCGAAACCAAGTCCGTTTGGTGATTAAGAAGTCAAGCGGAGCTTATGGTTAGAGGATGAAATCCGACGGACACTAGGGTGATGCCAGAGTCAGCTGGTTGAACTCCTCACCCTAACCCAATCTGAGATCAGATTAGGCTTGATGTTGATAGTCTAGATTGGTTCATTGCGGAATACCGAGACTTAACCACAGTTCAACACCAAGGATCAAGACATGTGGTCACCAAAATATCAAAATGAGCATAACTCCACGCCATTGATCCCCCAGCATGAATTCCTTGCCAAAAAAAAAGCATGGATCCCAAAACCACACCCTCAATCTGATTTACTTCAGACAACATCATAAAGGAATGTAACAAACAAGCTGCAGTGGCCACAAAACCCGCCTGCCTTCTTTATTTCTCACACCGTATCATCTCACCCTTTGTACCCTGGGCGCTGTCTGACCGTGCATTTGTTGTATAGAGAACGTGATGGATATGAACTCCTTGATGATCAGATTGAGTTCAATATTTAGAACATTAATGATCACCTTATCTGGCTCCTAATTCCATGTTCGGTAATAATTAGTTAATATTTTGTTTATTTGAAAATCCCAAGAAAGGCTATTACAGTCACCTATGGACCATAGGGCTTCAAATGCCTTATGTGCATCTTAGCGATCATTATATGTACTAGATTGTCCACATTGACACTCTGCTGGAGAACAATAAAAGGCGATCATCAACTTGTAGAACCGTCAAACCGTTCTCATATTCATAACCTTTACCCCTACATCACCTCAACCATATCTTAAACCCTTAACAAGGTCAAATAATGGTGATCAGTGTATAGTTTTACATTCCTAGGTACCTTCCTTGCTACGTGCCGAGCATCCCGCATTAATCACAAGTATCAAGGGCTAGAATTGGGAATGAATTTCCACAGGGGCTAGCTCATAACCGTAACCCATGACCAGCCAACCCCAACCCAAATCACCAGGTTACCAGACCATGGACACTAACCCAGGACAAATCTTTACAGGTTGATTGACCAGGGGAGCCAGGACCATATTCAATCTAATACTGAATCCATATAAGACTGGAGTTTCCCAATACCCATCATACTTCTTAAAGGAGTAACCACATACAGATCTTAATTGTCTCCCTCTATGTAAGCATATAAAGGTGTCCAAATGAGATCATTAAAAACAATTTATCCACTCAGTCACATCAGAGTAAACAAGGCCAAATGCAAAACAGACATGAAAACATCGCCAGGAACATAAGCACTTAACCCTGAAATTTGAGACTCACACACGTAAGAGCATGACGGCCAAAAAAGGAAAGGACTTATTTTTAGGAAAGCTTCATGGAAAGGAGTCTGATGAACCCATCTTTTCTTATTCAATGTAGGTAGGCTCGATTCAGTAGACTAAATACAAGTGAACAAAATGTAGTATGAAAAAGCATGAATAAAAAGTATTTGGACGAAAAACTGAGAGGAAGAATAGAATGAGATCAATGAAGAAATAACCGGACATGTCTTCTCAGTCTCATTAGGACAAACTAATACAAATAATCACGGAAAAACAAACAATCTGCCACAAATGTATAGAGTCGTTCATTCCAGACAATCAGATTTTAAGAATCAAATAATGAAAATAGTAAAAGAAAGAAGCCACTAAATACGACAGGAGTTGTTGAGAAATTCCTATTGTCAATTCTAATAAGCCTACTAAGAGGCATAAGATTCAACAACAAACCAGCCATGGAGAGCTATAATTCAGTCTATTTCAGGAAGATTCAAGCCAAAAAAAGGGGGAAAAAGATGAAAAGAAAAGAGGGTGATTTTAGGGAGGAGTAGGCCGAAAAAGAAGCCTAAAACTCAACAAACAGCACACCAGAGCAGCCTCAGAAGCGAGACCCCAAGAACACTGCTGATGCACCCTGTGTTTCAATGAACCTCAAAAAAACGGTGATGACATTGGGCCAAGGAGCTGCAATGTTATCGGTGGTGGCGGCCAGCCATCTGAGAAAGCCCTCCTCTTCCAGTCGATCCCCGGTCAAATCCACGAGCCAAGGCGCAAGATTGTAATAACAATGCATGGCCACAACGAATGGAATATTCTTCAATCCACTCTCACAAGCACGGCCAATCTTCCTGTTTGGGTGAAACCTGTCGTAAATCGCATCCCCAGAGGGCAAACCACAGCCGATACACACCTGGAAGGATCTTCTATTGTTTGAAGATGTCAGGTAAGAGGAGAAATGAGCTCGCTGGCACTTTTCCGAGCTATGAGAACCTAAAACCAAGGCCACCAATGTCAGCAGGTGCAAGAGAGACGCCAGAGAGATCAATCAGCAGGTACACACCCAGACACTTGAAGCACTTCCCGTTCATCCGGCGACAATAATGGTGTGCAGAATAAGAACCATTCTCCACAAAACATTGACCACAAATCTCGCCACCCAAAGTGGCTGCCTTAGATACAAAAGCAGCTGCCACCGACTCCAGAACAGTGAGAGCGTGGTCTCTATGGCTAACCCCCGCCTGCGCCTCTAGAGTACTTTGAGAAACCAAACAGGATGACTGGATCCTTTGTTGTTCAAGGATGTGGAGGCTGGCTGTTGTCGCCCGGGGAGAGGCTTGCCAATTCTCAACCTGCAAACCTTTGGAGGTGACGTGAGGTGAGGATCCCCCCAACCCCAGACGTGGTTGAGGAGCCGGGGCCTTGAGGCCGGAACCCATCGCCGAGCAGCCCCCCCCAGATGAGGGCAGCTGGGAAGCCAGGTGGTCCATAATTCCGGAAATATGGGACATTGAAGCAGGGACCGAGGGCAGCTGACGACGCAAGTGTTGAGGTATTGAAGAAGAGCCGCCGGAATGGTGCCCAGGAAGTGATTGAGGGACCACATTGGACAATCTTGAGGAGATACCCCAATATTCATCCGCCTGCAAGAAGAGAGAGATAACGTTTGGCCATGGACTTGATGGCTCACTAGTTGCGAGCCAATGAATAAAAGCCTCAGGGGAAGAAGCATCGGGTGCCCACATACTGAGCACCTCAGGATACTCGGCCAGAATAACAAAAGACACCTGAAGAGCTACACCCTTGAAACCACTTTCACATCCCATGCCGATCCTCCCAGATGGATGGAAAAGGAGGGGATCATGTGCACCTGAAGGGAGGTTACAGGCATCACAGAAGGTATAAGATGTCCCTGACCTGGCCAATCTTATCGCGTCCGAGAGGGAAGGAAATGGACACTCAAAGCGATCATGTTCCCCTGTCAACGAAAAGTCCAAATAAGCAATCCAAATAATCAGCTAGTCAATCCGAATCACCAAACCAACAAATGACACACGCACCTGAGCAAGTGCTACACTTGGCCTTAATCAAGTCACAACGACCCGCATGATGAGACACAGTACCTTTGGAGATGTAACACCAGCCACAAGGTGTACCAGCGGAAGACTCCTGCGATGAATTGAAGAGCCCAATGATGGATTTCAGCTTGTGGTTCTTGACCCCCGGTTCAATCACTGGGCTATTGGCTGAGCCCCGCCCAAAACCGACCAGTGTGGATTCGCGCCGAGGAGATCCCAAGTCGGAAGCAACCGCCCCGGATGACCCCAACAGCCGCTGCCGCAGAGGTGACAATCCAGACCCAGCAGAAGCAAATCGCAGCTGATTTTGAGGAGTCCGAGGCGCCGATGTTGGCTGGAATGATACGATACCACCCTCGGAGTTTGCAACCAGACCAGTGCTTCGCGAGCCCTGAATCACCGGTCGTGCTGATGCCCCTTCAAATAAGCGTCCAAGTGACCTTTCACCTGGCCGTCCGACCGAGGGGGACCCAACCCCGCCGGGCAAGCTCGGGTCACCAAGCAATTCTTCAAGGGTAGACTCGTTTGGACCACCCAGGTCATCTGGGTGACCAAAGCACTCGAATGAGGAAGAGCCTGGGTCAATGCGACGAGACTTTCCCATGGATGGCGAGTCTTGCGGGTCGGGCAACAGTCGTTTAGTCCTCAGAGAATTCGAAGCCCATAATGTGCATGGTCTACACTTTGAAGGCATGTTTGGGAAAGCCATGCAAGAAGTAGACACTTTGTCTTCCCATTGGGAGAAAACCCCAGCTGCGCACATCGAAGGATTGAGCAGCCGGCCTTTGAAATCGTCGGTGTTCAAAGGATCCTGCTGATTTGGAACCAACACAACCTTTGCCGCCAGTCCGTCTCTGCCTGCCCTCCCTAACTGCTGGTAAGCCTTATTTGCCTGAGTGCGTAGCGGGAGACCATAAATGATGACTAGTCGGACATGGGGATAGTTGATCCCAGCCCCAAAACCACTAGTTGCAACCATTACTGCGTGGTCCGTGGATGCCCAGTCATCAGACATTTTTACCCTGCTTGCATCGTCCAAGCCAGAATGGAAACGGAAAAAGTTCAACCGATCGGAGAAGTCATCAACAAGCTGGCGATTTTCAATAAAGACCATTGCCCGGTCTTCAGGGTTGATAACATGGGTGTTGATCAGGTCTTGACTCAGGCGGATGAACTGTTCAAGGCCAGAGGGAGTAGGATGGACATCGATCTGCAACTCCTGGCGGAAAGTTGGTTCTCGGAAGACGACCAGGTCCTTCATTCCCCAGTAGGTGTGCGTGAGCTCCTTCTCTAGGGCTGGCGGCAAAGAACCGGTAGCAAGGATGAAGCGAGAGGACAGTTGACGAAGATTGACCAATCCAGATATGTACTTTCGATACGTGTCGTCGATACATGAGTGCGCCTCGTCGATAATGATCCTCTTGGGGGGATTGAGTTTCAGCAGGTTGATAAACTCCCCATTGGCTGCGTTATCACATAATGCCACGATGACGGAAGCGGAAGGCAAGAGTGGCAGCCCCGGTTGATACTCTTGCACCGTGATGTGCTTGAGCCGTAGATCCAACAAAGTCTGTTTCACCAGTGCTTTCAGTGGCTGAATGACCACCAGAAGATTGTTTGGTTCGATCAATGGCGGCAATAAGTATGAGAAAGACTTCCCACCCCCTGTCCGGGCCACCACGAGCATGTCCTTCTTATTTTCAAACAGGCAGGTGGTCCACCGCTGCTGGAATTCGGAGCGGAACCTTGCATCGGGATTGGAAGTAGAAATGCACAAAGCCTTCAACGCCAACTGGTAAGGATCCATCAAATCTTCCATGGGCCGATGGGGGGCATCAACCTCATATTCCGTGCGAATCTAGGCAAACAGGGGCAATTGCTAGCATCAACATCAAATTAGAGGAGTGAAACAAGGACGCCAGGTCAATGGCAACCAAACAGGGAAAACCAAAAATGCCATAGCCCTTGGGGACCACCAGGACAACCATATAAGTCATCACGAACAAACAGACCCCAAGGTTGGACACAGTGGGGAGGCAAAAGACAAGCTGCTAATAATGAGGATTGCCTAACCCATCCCAGTCTGCTAGAGCAGCCAATTGCGCCCGAAAAAGGCGCAGTGATCTGCTTGACCCTGCACCAAACAACCAGAGAGAATTCATGAGGCTTACCTTCCAGAAATCCTGCCAAACCTCGCTTGCCTTTTTGAAACAGTGCTCTCGGTCCCTGACAACCCCCGCCCCACCGCTGTGCCCGTAATGTTGATTTGCAGTCGCAGTCGAGTGATTCCGCTGAAGATCCAAGTAATCACTCGGGGTTGAGAACTCATCACCATCTCCTAACTGTCCACTTGGGAGATGAGCGGCTGTGATGCTGACAGCAACCTGGCGCCACTGAGCAACGGATAAGCCGGGCATAGCGTAACGGGTGAACGTTTCCCTAAGGACCCTGGACTGATGGGCAGTATCCCACTTGCCTGACATTGAATGGACAAAGAGATACCGTTTCATATCGGATACTACGTCCTCGGTGCCCAAATCACTCAAAATTGCACTAGACCCAAAGACATCAGCACAAATCCACATAGAAACGCAGCAGGACTAACTTACAGCTGAATAGGGCGTATGTAGGCCAAATAGTTGTGCAGATGCACTGAAAGCTTGGCTGTCAGATAAACCTGACGCGCCTTTGACCGATTAGTCATATTCTGGCCTTTGTGGTACCAAGTTTGGATGAGGAACTGAGTGTGACGCCAGAAGATGTTTCGCGGAGCTGATTCCAGGTTGGTGATTGCAATCGTGGACTCTTCAGTTCCTCTTGCAGGTTGACCACACGCCACGTGGTAGACAAAGTATATTGCGCCCAACAGATTATCAACCTCACGCAGCCACTTCCACGCGCCGCTCGGATTCCATATGCCCTTGAACGAACCCGCCAGAGAACACTCCTTCCAGTTTTTCGCCAGTACACCCATTGGATCGCCTCTAGACATCCAGCCATGCAAGAGAGTGTGTTGAGAAGCCCGATATTGATCTGGATTGACCTTGAGATAGTTGAACCCCGGCGACCGATTCGAGGGAATCTCGTGCATTTGAGATTGCTTGAACTTTTGCAGGGAAACCCCATTGGATACGACCAGGAACAAGTCGTCTAGATGGCCGATGGACTCTTGGATGCAAGAGCGCAACCCAGACATTGTCAGAGACATTTTCCCAATCACCAGTGTCTCACAAATGGTGTCAGCCCAGTAGGTTGAATCGGGAAGCTGCTCATTCGCCTGGACTGCAAAGCCCAACCGCTTCCACTCGACTAAAGTCGTCAAAGGAGAAAAGAAGTCGTCGTCGTGAAGGGGCAGGAGGACCTCATTGCGCAAAAGTGTCATCCTGCGATTGATCTCACGGGCAGGAATCCGTTCCCTCTTCAACTCGGCCGCTTTCTCCGTGGCCAAGGAGCAGTAAAAGTAAACCAAAGCCAGACGAGATACGTATTGCAGGTCGGCGATGATGTGCGTCAGATGTTGGGCTGAGGCAAAAGACCCATCCCCCTTGTACATTGACAAAGCCACAAACTGCTCTAGGGCCGATTGCACCTGGCTTTGAACGTGCAGGAGATTTGAGAAGGATGAGAAGCTAACCACAATCTCATCAATAGCTTCCAGAGTTGCGCGGTTCGGGGGGGACTCGGGATCGGTGCGAGAGAGGAAGTCCGAAATTATGCGATGGAGGGGTTCTTGCTCCTCATTCCAGCAAGCAGCTATGGGGTGGTCTTTCCAAGCGGACACGAAGAGCACCAGACAAGTGAGTGTTGATGCGTAACGGTAGCTGGTTGAGGACTCCTGCAATGGATTTATCCCATTGGTAGACTCAATTTTCCTGGACATAGGGCAAAAGAATATTAGTCATAAGAAACCCACTTATTGAGCAAAAGGAGACCAAACGCACGAGGATGTAGACATGACTGCCCGTCGCAATGCATACGCCACACAATCAATCCCAACCATCCTAGCACGCAACCACGCATGGAACACCGGGCGCCATTTTTCCAACTCAGGAGGGGACCAGATTGAGCCAATCTCTTCGACAGAGATATGTTCAAGGCAGGACAGGACATGCTGGTGGATACCTGAGCTCCTCACAAAGAGGCCTATTGAAGAGGGGTGCAGATCCACGTTTTTCCAAGAGTCAAGACCTGAGAGATCTAACCCTTCGAGGTGATTGAGAAAGAGAAGTGCCTCAGTGCAAGCAGTAGCCACAGAGCTGACTTTAGAGCCATCGTCCGAAACCAAGCCAATCAATGCAACCCCGTCCAAATCCCGGACTGGAAAGTACTTCCGGTGCCTGTGGCCAAACAGCGTTTGGCAGTAGACGTGATGAGAGTTTGCCCGCCAATCTGCCTTCATATCTAAAACATCGAACAAAGGGACCCATTGTCAGCATTCAGAACCCATTAGCTTCACAAGTGTGCACAACAGAACCCACCGGGATGTACGGCATCAAAGTGGTTCCGCATGCTCTTCTCCTCAGGGAAAGTCTCCCCATCCAACATGCACATGTTACCACTGTATATAAACAAACCCTCCACAGCTTTGCAGGGCTCCTTCGTTACAAAGCCAGGGGGTACAGTCGGCAAGCCCTTAGACATGTCTAGGTCCTTTCTGATTGGTGCGAAGGCATCAGCGAACCCCATGGCATCGAAACCCAGTGTCGGATGGTTGTTCTTCATGTGTGACTTCAGCTCGGTAACGGCGATCCCAATGTGACACGAATTACAAATCAGAATCTGAGCGTATTTGTTCCACACCAATTGGTATCTGAGCAATCCCTCATTACCTGCAAAGAAACAAAACACACAGGCAATTGGCATCAGATCAAACCCCCAAACATATCACAATCCAAATTACTCACGCTCATTCTGGGCCGCAAAGGGCACAACCCTCACCGGACCGTGCGTTGGGGTGACATCCTTCGCAGTTGTCAATAGGCTTTTGGGTGAGCAATTGACGTAGTGAGTATGCAAATTTGAACTGTTTGCAAACTCCGCCACACAGCCAGGAGTTGGACAGGTAAACAACCCATTATCCTTGCGCGTGAGGGTAGACTTTGATCCATCTTTGAGGTTGATAGAGATCTCCGACTGGTGTTCTTTCCGGACGTGGGTTTTCCTAGAGCCATCGGTCAGAAAGGCCTCGGGGCATTGTTTGCATTGAAACATGTTCGTACGAAGGGGTTGATGTTTGTGTGGTAGAAAGAGTATCCAATGGCGCCTAGAATAGACAACTAGCAAGAGAGCTTGAGTAAGATCAATATAGACGGTCAGATTAGAATAATCAAATTGCCTACGTTGGCCCAGGAGCCCCCGTGGGGCCTCCTTATATAGTCCCCCCCCCCTGTCAACCAAAAAAAGGAATGAAAAAGGCACAAGACCGCAGACAATCCAACAAAGGCAAATCATACCCCAACCCGGGTGGGCGTGGCCAGATGATTACATAGAAAGTCTGAACGCGAGAGGACATGAAATCCCATGTGGAAGACAGGGACTAGGAACCCGTAGGAAAGGCAGTGATCAAAAACCAACAAATTATTGATTCTGGTACCCATCCCAGACTGCTAGAGCAACCCCCAAATGTGAGAAAAACAATTACCAAAAGACATGAAATCGCCAAATTCTCGGTTGAAAGAAAAAGCATCAAAGAAAAAACTCATCAGGTCAGCGAGACAAACCCAAAGAACCACGTTTCTGTTACCCATCCCAGACTGCTAAAGCACCCCAAAAAACACCCAAACAACATACAGATGGGCCCACAGGTGTGGACAAAAAGACCCATCCTGCATAATGTCAGAATCTGTAGGAAAGGCAGTGATCAAAAGCCAACAAATTATCGATTCTGGTACCCATCCCAGACTGCGAGAGCAACCCCCAAATGTGAGAAAAACAATTACCAAAAGAGAGGAAATCACCAAATTTTCGGTTGAAAGAAAAAGCATCAAAGAAGCAGCTCATCACGTCAGCGAGCCAAACCCAAAGAACCACGTTTCTGTTACCCATCCCAGACTGCTAGAGCACCCCAAAAAACACCCAAACCACAGACTGATGAGGCCACACGTGTGAACAAAAAGACCCATCCTGCATAATGTCAACCATGCCAATCGGATAGGATAACCCAGGCCAGACTATCCCACAAACCCGAGAGAAATGATTACACAAAAAAACACATGACCAAAATCCCAGGTAAACAACAGTATCAAAGAGACTGGTCATAAGTTGAGAGAGGTAAACCGAAAGAACCACCTTTTTGTTACCCTTCCCAAGCTGCTAGAGCCCCCCAAAACACCACCAAACAACAGACAGGTGAGGAAACAGGGGACAAAACAAAGCCCAAGCCTGCGTAGTGTCAGCCATCCTACTCAGATCAGGCACCTCCAGGCCAGAGCAAGCCCCAAACATGGAAAATAATTACCCAAAAAATTACTTCACCAAATTTCCAGGAACGCCCCAGTCTCAAAGAGAAAGGTCATCAGTTGAGAGAGGCAAACCAGAAGAACCTGGTTTCAGTTACCCATCCCTAACTCCTACAGCACACCAAAAACCCACCAAACAGCAGACAGGTGAGCAAACAGGTGTGAACCAAAACACCAAGCCTGCATAATGTCAGCCATCCCTGTCAGATGCGGAGACTCCAGCATCAGACGAACCACATCCATAAAGAACAATATGAACCCTAACTCATTCAAAATATTACAATTTCCACATATTCTTCATACAAACACAGGACCAAATCCAATGAAACATTGAGCCTTTCAACATTCAAGCCCATGTGGGCCCAAACAAAACCTCAAACACATCACACCGAGGGGTCGTCTGGTATGAGCCACGACCAATGATGGATGGCTATTCAATAGGATTATACGGAAAAATAAAACGTTACAGTACATGAACTCCCATGTGAAAGTCAGGCGCAGGGCCCACGGTGAAAGGCTGTTTCACAAAAAATCCCAAGTATGGAACATAATATCCATCCCAGGCTGCTAGAGCAACCCACTTACACGAAAGACATCATTCTCAAAATCATTGAAACTACAAATCACAAGCACCGCTGGTGCCACCCAGGCCCAGGTCATCATGTCAGAGGGGCAAAACCGAAGAAAACATGATTCTGTACCCCATCCCAGACTGCTAGAGCACCTCAGATCCCTACAAAACAACAGCCAGGTGGGCAGTCAGGTGTGAACAAAAAGCTTGAGGCGGGATAGATAGTTTCAGCCAACCCAGCCTGACAGGCCTCCAACCCACCTGAAAATGCCAAAGAAGACCTCACATCATAAACACAACAAACCGAGAAACGTTATCACTGACATTCCAAAAAAGCACAACATCAGACCTCCCAGACTACCAGAGCCACATTCCACCAAAAATGTCTTTGGCCGAGACCCATAGATGTATATATGGATGACTAACAATATTCCAAAAGCATCACGAGCACAACATGGGTCATATCACCAAAGGGTTCATCCCCAACAGATAGGAATGTCAAACACATCCCAGACTGCTAGATCACCCCCAATGTTGGAAGTACCGTGTGAACACCAACCATAGCCATAACCCTTATCCATTCCAGACTGCTAAAGCAAACTCATTCAAAGAAAATAATACCTAAAACATATGCCCACCAAGAATTACCCAAATGCATCTAACCCAAGACCTAGGTCAAAAAATCAGAGGGGAGAACCCACCCCTACAGGACAGTAACACACATCCCAGACAGATAGAGCAACCCCAAACTTGCAAAAAACACACAAAGGTGAGTACATACTTGTGGACCCAAATACCAAAACATGACCTTCTCACCCTGAAGCGGCGTGATCAAGCAAGTCCACCTACTGGACCACAACACTCAAACTGCTGATGAATCACAATCAAGTACCCAGAAACATGTCAATACTGTCCTACTAGTCATAACTGATAAGGTAGCAAATAACATCACCGGTGGGTTTGAATACCCATAAGAAAGCCCGGCCCCGGGGTACACATCAGGAGTCCCATGCGAAAGAAACCCTCACATCAGCATTATCAACCCTAACCCAGTCTACTAGAGCAATCCAATTTCAACAGAAACATCTATTCCCAACTCCAGAATAACCAATAAAACCCAAAAAACCTCAGGACCAAGTAAACTGGCCTTCCCATCGGGGTGCAACGTGGTCCAAATTACAGTCGGGTAGGTCCCAACCAAACCTGCCAGAAGCACAAACAGCTGAGGAGCAGGTGTGTGTGAACAAAAAATAAGCACTCAAAGAAACGGCCACCAAGAATGAGAGCAAGTAACCGGGGGATGGGGTTGTTTACCAGACTCATGCGGTTGTGGGAGAATATGCAAGAGCCACCATACAAGGCCAAACACCACATAAGCAGGACACAAGATTGCATGCAAAAATCAGACCAACCAAGGGCAACAGGTATGTATGACATCACCATTCAGGTTAACCCACACATGAGCAAACCAACAAGCAGACAAGCAGAAAAAAAGAACAGAATGATAGGACCAAAGATGGACAAGCCAACCAAAACAAGCAAGGAGAAAACCAAACCCAGGCAACAGCCAGGAAGAAAGCAGAACAGACAGACAAGAAAACAAAAGAAAACAATCATTGAGAGACACCAACACTATTCAAGATGAAGGATGACTCCCCCTTTTTACGTGCACGCTCCTCTGCACCACCGTCCTCGTCATCTCTCCCATCATCCTGCTCTTCATCATCGGCCAAGGACTCCTGATCAATCTCCTTCAAGAGAGCCTGGCGCGCCTTCTCCAACTCCTTCTCGGTAACGTTGCGCACCCTCTTCTTCTTGAAAGCCTTCTTCGAAGTTGCCCCCTCCGGTCGTACGATGGCCGGTAGATCCATGCCTAGTCGCAGCCCGTCCTCCCACTCAAGGCGAAAGGATTCAGACACTAAACCCTGCCTGATAATGACATCCTTAGCTGGCACCCCCTCCCAAGATAGGGACTTCCCGGGGGATGCAATCTCCGAAGCCACATCAATCAGAGCCGCTTGAGAAACCACTCTGTTATGAAAATCACCCAAAGAATCAGAAACCAAGCATACAAAGCAATAAGAGGGAAAAACCACTTACTCATTAGTCAGCTTATCATTCCACACCTTAATTAGAGTAGACCAGTCCAGATACTCGGTCCGCTCCGATTCATCGAGATGGTATTCAAAGGACTCGAGACAGGAATATGTGAGCGCCGAGATGTTCGACCAAGCCGAGCTGGATTTGTAGTCTTCAGGAGGCGCAGGACTGGCAGGGGAGGACTTTGTGATCCAATCAGACTTGTGACGAGCCAAGTTGATCATCCCGTAGACACTCTTCAGGTTGAATTTGTTGGTATCAGCAAAACAACCAAACCAACCGACCGGACCAAAAGCCAGAAAGATAGAAGCCGCGCCCAGAGCACCCTGCCGCATTTTCCCCCATTGAGCCGTCGTCATCGTCAACCCGATATTCTTGTAGAGATCCTTCAGCTCTATGTCCTTCTTGACGATGCCCTTCCCCTTAACCGCCGCAATGTTCGCATCTTGCGCAATCTTCTTTGTTTGAACCTCCCGATAGTTCATGTAATTCATTAGGAGAACCCCCATGAGGGTCTCCCAAATCCGCTTTTGAAGGAACTGAAGACCGTTTCCCTTCGAGCCGGAAGTCGAGTTCGCACCGACGCCAAGGATCTCGCACTTCTTTGCAATAAATTGCAGGGCCTGCTCAAACCCACCGTGGGGGCTGGTGGAGTCGATTGTTGGCTCCACGTGACTCTGGAGTGGGTCCATGCATCGCTCAACAAGAGCATGAACACGGTTAACCGACGCCTTGATACCGTGCTCATCTTTGAAATACGTCTCCGAGGTCGTATCTGCCGAGCGACACATCATAGTCAACAGAGCCTTCCAAGACCCCTCGGTTTCCTTGGCCTCCGCAAACGTCCTTAGTTCCTTTATTGTCTTGAAGTTAAAGACGCCTGACTGATAGAAAGGATCGTTCCCCTCCAGCTGGATCAGACGGGGGCCTAAAAAATCAAATCATCAGGAGTGGATCAGAACACGGGCCAGGGGAATAATCATATTAATAGATGATAAACAAAGACAACTTACAGGCCCTAATAACCGACTGAAACTCCTTTGTGCAAGCCATGGAACACAAGGCAACCAACTCCGGCGAAGTCGTCTTCAACTTGAAGCTGCCGACCTTGTAACCACCGTGCTCGAGGTAGAATTTGACATTGTGACCGATTATTTTCGCAATGTGGCCATGGATATTCTCGCTGATGTCCCGGACGTTTTTCTTCAAGTTAGAAATTGTATGCTTCATAGCCGAGATGTCGAGTGCTAGCACAAACTGATTCTTCTCCACAATAAATTCTACAAAACCAAAAGTTCAGCCGCCATTCATGAAACAGAACCATGAAAAACAATCGAACCTTGATAAGAAAGGGGGTCTGTGAACCTCTCAGGAACCTTCTTCCAAGTTTTTTCCCCATCCTGAGAAGTCTCGACCGTCGTAGCTTGAGAGGCTGGAGGTTGAGATTGAGATGGTGCTGGCGCAGACTGAGACTGAGACGAATGAGGATGAGGTGCCTGCGAACCGGGTGGGCCTGTTGATGTCTGAGACTGAGCCCCATGAGCCGCCGTAGACGATTGAGAGACAGCCGACTCCACACGTGCCAGATTCTTCTTGGGAGCTTGACCAGCAGGCAGGGGCGTAGGGGAACGAGAGCCAAAAAGCCCCTCTGGTTCTACGCAACAAAAAACCAACAATTAACCCCAAAAAACAATACCCAACCCAACATGAAAAAATGACAAACCAGAATCAGACATATGTCTGTCGGATGGACCATCGGCTGCCGTGTTTAATCCTGAATTCAAATCAAAAACGCAATCAAAATCACAATCATAAAAGCACCTCAAAAAAACCTAACTCACGAGGAAACTTGTTGAACTTCAAAGAATCCAAACCAGTCCTTTTCCTCTTGGGCGCCTTGATCTTTTCAATGTCAGTATCGTCCAACGTCAAATCAACCATCTCGATAAGGCTGATCCCCTCGGTCTCGGCCTTTGCAATCCTAGAGCTGCACTCGTCCAAGAAGGCATTCAACCCCTTCAGGAAAGTCTCAGCAAAGCTTTTGAGCAATGGCGAAGTCTCCGAAACGTGAGAAGCTATTGAGGCCTCAATCGCCGCTTTAGTCAAAGAGTCTAACAAACCAGCCAGAAACATATAAGCCATAGAATAACAGTTGAAGAGAGAGAGACTTGAAGAATGAACAACTTACAGCTCTTGTGAAGGTCTTTGACTTCATCCAACGGGGTCTCCGGCTTGAGCGTGGGGATGGTGGAGCCCATGTTGCCAGATTCACCAGTGCCAAGGGCAGACGCTCCCGCACCGTTAGTTGAGACATCAGTGCCGCCCCCCGCAACATGCCCAGCCACATTCTATATACCACCAGAAAAGTCAAAAAACATATAGGGGCATTCATCCCACAAGATGGTCTAACTCACTTTTGGCACCTCCTTATCTTTCAATGCATTGGCCTGATCACCAGCACCCACCCCATCATCCAAGTCAATAGGGGTGTTCGGGGGAGCCGGACCAGGTGTGACCGACGGCGCGGGCGTCTAAAAAGACAAAAAACCAGAAGATATAAATTAGTACCAAAAACACCAATGCAGCACAATCAGAAAAAAAAGGACATACTTTCAAAAGAGCTTCACCAGATTCGTCCGTGGGATTCTCATCACTCGAGGAAGACAAACCCTGCCAATGAGAGATAAATTAGGAGAAAGGAAACTGAATTAAAAATCAGAAGGCATGGAACATACACTGGACTCAGTATCCTTGTTCTCGCCAGCATTATCCTTAGCCGCAGTATCAACAAGCAAGTTCCCCTGGAGTAATCAGACCAAGGATGTCAGTACAAGACACATCAGGATGAGCAAGACAGTCAAATGAACAGTGGAAACTCACACTTTGATCTTTCCAAAGGACCTTATCACCACCAGAGGCCCCTGGGGGCCCAGAAAGGGACTCATTAACTCCTTGGTTAATGTTATCCTAAAATCAAGGTGAACAGAATCAGCATCAGTTGATCCAGACCCAATAAGGGGAGGTTACACATCAAATAAAGAAAAATTACCCCAGAATCAGTAGCAGGTGAATCTGCTGCAGATCCCTGAGATCCATCAGCCGGATTCTTATCTACAACATTTTCGGCCCCAGGCAACACTTGTGGCTGCAGAAAGAATCTCAAAACAGTCAGATTAAGGCACAAATAGAGAACAGACAAATACCAAATAAACATACATTCTCTTCTCCACTAGCATTTCCAGAGATCGCGGAAGCGGTTCTTCGGGTAACAGGGGCCATACTTAAATAATTGGCTGAACAGGTCGGGCAGAATACATTAAAACTGAGGATCACATAGCTCTCCCAGACTGCTGAGGCACACCCAAAACCGCGAAAAAGGAATAATACACACTATCAAAACCAGCAGAAGAGAGGAAGAAAACGGTCAGAGGATCAGATTAATGAGAAATCAGAACGCATATAATGAGAGAACCCAGACACCCCTCCCAGCTGGGGAGAGGTGTATCAAATCCTCAAAAAGCAGGCAGCCGCATTGAATCAAAACTCACCATGATCAAGAAAACCAGTAGGGATGACCAAGGAGGATGACCCTGACCAAATTTGGAGGGAAACAAATGATTCAATGAGACACGGAGGTCAACCAAGTTTAACCAACTCCAGAGTTGACCCTCGCAGGCTGCGAGGGTCCACAGAAACATAAATCCAGCAGAAAGCCGTCGACTTACTCACCTGGAATTCCGCGGTATAAACACCTGTCAAGACCAAAGAAAAATAAAACATCGGAGGCCAGGTCAGAACCAGATAACGACCCTTTTTGACGACCCTCGCAGGCTGCGAGGGTCGTAACAAATCAAGGAAATACTCACGGGTAACTAGTTCAGAAGATCCAGGCGAATGGGACAGAGTGAAAGCAGACGAAACCAGGAGGAGGACAAGAGCAGTAGGGCAGGTCAGCTAATATGTCGGAAAGGAAAACACCAAAAGCAGGGATCCTGATTCCTCTCCCAGGCTGGGAGAGGCATCATAAAACCACCAAAAAGATGTCGCAAGTCCCAAGGTAACTCACGATAATGAGTATCCGCCGAACAATTAAACGACAGGCAAAAGTAAAAGAAATCGCGAGATCAGCCTCGTCCTTGCAGGCTGCGACCGTCCTCGTCCGAATAATAAAACGATTGAATGGAATCTCACGATCTAGATCAGTTTCTGGATGAATTGATGGTACGTTGTACCTCGCTAGAAAAAGCAAAACGATTCGACTTCGGTTCAGTTAAGGAACGTTGAATCATGAAAAACGAGGAATACAACAACCCTTGCAGCCTGCGAGGGTCGTGCTAGATAAAACAAGAAAAACGAGGAATTGGACGACCCTCGCAGCCTGCGAGGGTCGTGGGGACTCACAAGTCTCGTTGATGGGTAAAAAGCCTGAGGTCGGGAGGATGAAATCATCAGTCTCGCGTCAAAAACTGATAGAACAAGGAAAAACGAGGAATGGAACGACCCTTGCAGCCTGCGAGGGTCGGAGTCACTTACAGGTTAATCTTGAGCGAGGTGTGATGGGAGGTTGGTTGGCTGGTGTTTGGGTTGTCTTCGGAATCGTGAAAACTGGGGACTTGGTCAAAGGGGGGGGGGGTGGCCCTCCTTTTATAGTCGTTGGGACCCCCCCTGCCCCTGAAAAAACCGCAATAATCCGGTCCAGCTGTGCGCGCAAATCTTGCGATTTGTTGTCCGCGCGCAGGCTTCGAGGGGTTTCACAAACCCCAATATTCTCGGATTGTGACACCCCTAGCAGACTGCTATGGGTCACCAAGTCAAGATTTTTCAACACAAACAAAACAATCAAAACCTGGGTCTGTGACACCCCTCGCAGTCTGCGAGGGGTGGCACAATTAATCCCATTTTGATGTGGGTAACTGCACATCTCAAGACGCTTGTGACCAAAGCCCTGTCAAAGAAGGTCGACATAAAGCACATTATCTGCCGGTTCTCACACCCCTCGCAGGCTGCGAGGGTTTTCATAAATAATACCAGCCAATCAAGGCTGAAATGATTATCATATATATTCCGGCTAATAATGTTCAATGGAAGGAAGCAATTCTGATGACACATCTCCCAAAATAGCAATGGTAAATTAATGAGTGGTGTGAGATGCAGTCATAAGGGATAATTTTATGGGGAACTGGAAGGAGTTGGTACAGAAAAACAAATTGGGGGGAAGAGATTAATTAAAATGTAATGATATCCTTTGGGCCAAAATCACATGAAGGATCAAATATATCAATATAAAATGTATTTTCATGGTAGAGATGAAATGAGTAGAATTTTGTATCAGGTATCAGCAAAGCTATAAAAACATTGTGACAGATTGGAACAACAGAAATGGCACTCAAATAATAGAAATAAATTGCAATGGAAGGGAATCCCAAAACAATAGCACACAATCAGATAAAAGAAGATAAAATTAAATAACCCAAAATAAATTCAAGAGTAGAGCAATATACTCCAGCGAGCAAAATATATTACAACAGAAAAATAGAA